CATGTTAACAACCGAATAAATTTCTCTTTAAGTTTCTGCGCATCATTGATGGAGGGGTGGTGTCCACTAGCCTTTTTTCATTTAGTAAACTATTCCTTTTAGTCCAATGACAGCGTATCCATGGATACAATTATTCTAAAAGCTTTGTGGGTTTCTGTCAGTGACTGAGGGGACAGTGTTGAGGACTGAACCCAGGATCTCCCCCCAAACTATATCCCCAGCACATTATTGTTTTATTTTGAGACACAGTCTCCCTGAGCTGCCAGGTCTGGCCTCAAACTTGCAATCTTTTCTGCCTTGGCCCCTGAAGTAATTAGGCTAGCGGTGTGCACCCCGTGCAATGAATCTTATTAAGGTTCATTCCATCAGGCAAAGCCATGACAAAAGTCTCTTTGAAACAAGCCTCTCTTTATGCTGGGCCCAGTGAGTATACTGAGGGGCTCCCCAGATTCTTTAAAGGTTTGCTGTTTAGCTGGGGATTTAGCTCAGCAGCATAAGCACCTGCCTTGCAAGCAGGCAGTCGTGAGTTCGATCCTAGGTACCGATAAAAAAAAAAAAAGGTTTGCTGTTTAATACGGATGAGCTACCTACATGTCCTTAATATCTTCAGAAGATGATTGGAGTTGTAGCTCAAATGGTAGAGTACATGGTTAGCATGCTTGAAGTCCTTGGTTCAAACCCCAGCATCATAAATAAATAAATTCATGTATAATACTATATATCCATGGGTATATATTCATATGTTTACATATATATTTATATTCAGTCATATGTATAAACATACATATATAGCCTTAAAGATCCTTTGCCAGGAACATCTACACATAGCCTCTCATGCCATTTGTCTGTCTCAGAAAATGGTAGCCTCACGAGAGTTAGACGTCTACATGTCAGCTTTTAGGGATCTAAAGAAAAAGGCTCAAATAGTATAATTCCACATTAAAAGCCTCTAAAACCAAGAGAAGAATTAGTTAGCTGAATACTGACTGTCACAATGAATCCATAGCAAATTCCAGCCCCTAGTTCTCACCCAAACTCTTAGTATGTCATCAAAGCAAATGACCCAAGTCTTGACATTTTCAAGGCTACAGTTTGAACTGATTGATTCAAAATTCCTGAGAATCTCTGCAAAAACAATATTGCCACCTAGAGGCAACCAAGTGTGGCACTGAGTTAAGAAACTCTACAAGGGAGCAGGGTCAACCCTGCCCATCACAGTGCAGACACCTCCAATATCCTCCCCTTCGTTCCCCATCTCTTCACCTGATGGCTACGTAAGGGTGCATAGAAGCAAGTTTCAGACCGCAGTTTGGTGCTGTGGATAAGAATAATGTCAGCTCTTAGGTATAGTGAGAGGGAAATTGGTGAGACTATACTGACACAAATTAGAGTAAAGAAACGGACAGGGCAGAGCTTCTCACACAGAGCATGAGTGACTTGGGAGCTAGCACAGAGGAGCCATATAGGTACCACAGTGAGTGCTTCTGGTTTGTACTATTCAGTGTAGTTTGCTCTTTTACCATAAGTATGAACTCTTGATTTGAAAACTGCATAAACAAAGCAATCAATGAGGAGCTTTCCTCTGGGATGCAGAGAGAACTAGCTGGAGCTCTGGTCTGAACCAGTAATGCTAGGTGGAGAGCAGCTGCTCTGTTCTCCCTTAGGGATCATTTTGTCCAGCCCACTCATTTTATATGTGGGGAAACTGAGGCCTCCAGGTGCTATTCACCAGTCCAAGATGTCCTAGACTCAAGTCTGCAGTACATGAGACTGAGACTGGTATTTCAGAAAAGACAGGGGTACTCATTTAGGGGACAGGCTCAATAGCTCCCCACAAGCCTCTCCAAGGTGAGTGGGCTCACCTCCAGACAGAGTCCAGCTCTTGCTCCAAGAAATGAAAGCCAAGATACTTCCTTCAACCACAGGAAGAAGACCCTTTCCCCCCCAGCCGCAGGCGTCAGTCAGCCTCCCGGAGTGCTGAGCTCCTGGTACCATAGAACTCAGCAGTGCCTTCCCATCTGCTTGGTAGGCACCACATGCTTGGAAGAGACTTCAAGAGAGCTGAGGAGCTGGAAAAGAGGGGCCCTGGGAGCCATATCCTAGATAAAAGTCAGGGTCACACAAACCACCTGTTCACTTCTATTTCAAGAGGAAACTAAGGCTTAGATAGGAAAAAAGCATGGCCCCCCATGGTCTCCATTCATTCTGGGGGAGAATCTGGGGTCGGACCTCTATTTGGTTTGTCTTCACCAAATTTTAATATTTATTTTGTAGCTAATACATATTTTTTTTAAAAGACAAGTGATGCATAACTTAGCATAGCTATAAAGTTAAAAACAGACAGCATGTGGTAGCTCACGCCAATAGTTCCACCCCTTGGAAAGGACAGGGAGTCTGAGGTCAGCCTGTGTTAAACAGCATAAACCTGTCTCAAAAAATGGAAGAAAAAACAAAAATAAAGTTAAATATAAAAGTGGGCTTCCATTACCGAACTTCAAATACGCTTTCTCTGGAGGTATTCTTTGCTTATGAGAATCAATTCTTTTTCAAATGGATTTTACTAGAGCATACTGATTTTTATAAAACACTGAGTTTGAATGTGGCATTTTCATGTAAGCATATAAGGTAGCAGGAGCGGATCTAGGATTGTTGTGATGTGTCAACTTGAATGGATTAAGAAAAGCCTGCCATGATGGCAAACCTATGGCACACATGCTACAGTGAGCACACAGCCCTCTCCATGATATCATGAGTTCTATGAGGTTTTCTCTAAGCTAAAACCTCAGCATTTAGGTTTAATTGCATTGTTGGCACTTTGAAATGAATAAGCAGGTTTAGGATTGCTGTTTGGTCTCTAAAAGCTTTGCCAGATTAGTGGAGCCCAGCTCTGGCTACGTCTGTGGATGACTGACACATAGGCTGCATACCAAGAAGGGAAGACTTGCCCTGGATGGTAGGTAACACCACCAATGGGCTTGTAGCCTGAATAGAATAAAAAAGAAAGACGTTTTCCCTTTTGTTTTTCAGAAGAGTGCTGGTCTGTGCCATTGCCCTTGGACATTCTTTCAGGCTTCCACTACAGACTCTGCAGCTTTCTTTCACAGACTTACACCAGATTCTGCAGTGAGCTCCAGGCCTTTGACCCTCAACTCGATGAGTGATGCAAAATCTTTTAGAGACTGATTGCCAAATTGTAACCCAAAACCCAAACCTTATCACAAAGCACCACCACTGCATTTAAACCTGAACACCGGGTTTGCCACCACTGGACTAGTGCAGGGACAGTCACTCTGCCTTTCTTCCACCCCTGAAGAGTGGAAGGGTCCATTGTAAGCCTACCTAGTAAATCCTTGGCAGAGCTTCCTCTTGGTAACTCTTCAGACTCAGAAAAATAAGTATTATATTTTTCCCTAATATGTGGAATCTAAAAGAGAGAAAATAAATCACTATACTGCATCTAAATGAGGTCAACTCATCAAACTTGACTACACTTGGGAGTCATGTGGGGACCTGGTCTAACTGGTCTGGAGTGAAAGCTGGGCTCCTGATATAATCTTTTTCTAAGGCTAAATATGACTTCCAGGAAACAGTTTCCAATGGAAAGCTTCCAACTCCCTGCCCAGAGCAGCCTCCTCCCTCTTCTAGGATTTAGATTCTCTAGCGTATCCTGCATAGCATTGTCCCCACTGTTGGGGATTTACAGAACAATAAGAGGTGGCTATGTTGACCCACCCGCTTATTCATCCGAGACACACTGGCTGCGTTAGTGAAGATGTGCGTATCAAAAAGGTATCTGTTACATCCCACAAGGACTCACAATGGGCCCCCAAGTATCAAAGGTGAAATGTTGAGTGGTTTGTGTATGTGTGTAGTTCTGGTGACTGGGCCCAGGGCCTTGCAACACACTGTGCTCTGCCACTGAGTAACTGTTTTTTATTTTCAATGTTCAAGCAAGGTTTTGCTAAGTTGCCCTAAATGGTCTTAGATTTGCAATATTCCCACTTCAACTTCCCACGTAGCAAGAATTTCAGGCATGTACTACCATGTCCAGTTAAAGTCATTTTTTAAAAATATCATCTAAAGTTCTCCTCCAGATTAACTACTCTGAACATGTTGGTGAACAACCTGGCATGGTGGCAAACGCCTGTAATTCCAGTACTCAGGAAGCTGGGGCAGGAGGATTGCTACAAGTTCAAGGCCAGCATGAACTACACAGCAAGACCTTATCTCAAAAAGATAAAAAGCTATTTAAAAAATATTTTGGTGAACAAATTTCAAGTCATCATTTTATGGGGTTACACATACCTCCTTTAGGGTTTGATTTGATTTGATTTTTTGCTCGTCCAAATCTTTGGCCACCTCTCCAGGTGATGCATACAGACCAGAAATACTATTTTTAATGATGTCACAGTACCTTTAAACTTCCTGTTGGTGGATATTTATGTTTCTTCTCCATTTTCTGCAATTATGAACAGAGCTACAACAAATATCCTGATGCTTGCTTACAAGAGCCAGTAGGATGCAGAGACTGGGATTTGGAATTGGATCTAGATTTCAGCTCCCAGTTCTCAACTCCAGGTTTTACGGTTTCTGAAAATCTCCCATTCCTTCCTGTGCCTCAGTTTCTTTGTTGATAAAGTGGGGCAATAACGCCTCTCATAAGAGTTGTTTAAACAATGCAAACAGTGGCAAACATCTAGGCCAGTGCTTGTGTGCAAGAGGTGCTTGGAAAAATAATTCTACTGGGCTAATAAAAAGGACACATGAATAAATGACACTGTTTTTCCTTGCTCCTACAGTGATCACAAGTAAGATGCTACCCACTCACCCCAACTCTTCTCACCCTGTAATAGCTGTCCAAGCTATGTGGGGACCCCATAATCTGCCTTGAATTCAAATCATTGAATTCATTGTTGAGGCAAGGCCAACAAGTCTGGGATCACAGAGATCTGGTTAACAGCACACAATAGCAAGTCCTTTTATAGCACAGGGAGTTTTTTCTTCACTTGTGGAACAAGACAAATTTCTGTGTCATCCTTGCACAGGGGTCAAGCTATTATTCTCTGAATCGCTCCAATTTTAGTGTATGGGCTGCCAAGACAAATACAGAAGATTAATGGGGGGTGAGATGCTGGGTGAGTGAAGACAGGGTGCAGGTGGGGTGGCAGTGGTGTGAACGTGGTCACAGTGGGGTGAGGGACGCATCACCAAGGCTTGGCGCTGTGGTGGTGGTAACAGTGCAGGAGGTGAGGACAGCAAAGCTGTGGTTGGTGGCGGCGCGGAGGTAAAGAAAAAAGTAATCTGGGTCATTCTAGTGAGATCTTTCAAGGTATGTGGAGGTGGCGCTAACGGTGAAGAAGGCAATGTAATCTTCACGGAGGACGTCACGCCGGCAGAGATGCTGAGCCACTGTGGCAGTGATCACAGGGAGGTGATGGCAGTGATGATGCCCACAGGATGGCAGGTGCTGAAGAGGGTGGCTGAGCAACCGAGAGTGCTGGCCCCAGTTCCAAGAGGGGGCCAAGAAGAAAGCTGATTCATTTCTCCATTAGTTAAGAAAGAGTTAGACAGCATCTTCTTAACTTTTGCCCAAGTTGAGAAACATTTGAAGACAGTATCTGAACCTTGTTAGAAACCTGGCTCTGGCAGCATTCTTGCACCTAGCTCCCCCCTGAAAAATCAGATACCTAAATAGTTGAATTTTCCAAGGTAAGGGGTAGGATGCCCCCTGCCGGAAGGTGAAAGTTGTGCTTCTCCCTGTTACCACAAGGGGGTGGGCAGAGCTTTTCCTAGGAGTGACTTTTAGGGCTGAGGAAGGGGTATTTCTAGCCCCAAAGAGAATCACCCCACCAGCCGCCACCACCACCACAAGTTTGAGCAGCCAGAGAGCAAGGAGAGGGCAGTGTGGAATGGGAGGGTTTTTCCTCAAGGACTAAACACTACGGAGGCTCTCCGGGAAGCAAGGCAGGTTTAAGATTCCCTTGAAGAGTCATATTCCACTTCGGCTGGGGCCCTTCTGCAGTACCAAGGGGCAGATTTCCAGGTGGTGACACTACAAGAAATGCTACTTGTATTTTTAGTGCAACAGCACCACACTGGGGGGAAGCAGGAGCCAAGGAAGATACAACTATACGTGATTTTAAATTGCTTTGCTCCCTGGTGTTCAAAGCACCCCAGCACCACAGTCAATGCTATACGCAGAAGTTCTTGGGCAGATAATATTACTCCATTTTACAAGAAGGAACCTGGGTCAGAGAATACTGTCCTTCCAACATCTTCATGGCTTACAGGCACAGTGGCAGTGGCTTGATAACCCAGTGTAGCTTGGATTCCCTTTCTTCTGCTCCTCTCCTACCTGAACTAAGCATCTCCTGGCCTTTCTTTTCCTGTGAAATCCAAATGAAGACAGACTGGGGTTTGGACCCTTTGCAACCTAGCTGAAGATTATGACCTTGAATCTTGTACTTTCTTCCTTCTGCCCAAAAGCAAAGGCGTGGGGTCTGTCATATAGGCCTGGGTTCTGCAACCTATTGGCTGCTGTGAGTTGAACTTTGGTACCTCATAAAGGGTCCCCAAAGTCCTAACTTCTAGCATCTCTGAATGTACCTTATTTGGAGATGGGCTTCTTGACAAAGGAATCAAGTTAGAGTGAATTCATTAGGGGGGAACCTACTCCAACAGGACTGGTGCCCTTATTAAATGGGAAAAATGGGAGACAAACAGAGTGTCTTCACATCTTTCAAGGCCTAAAGTTACGAGCCAAGGAACTTTTAGAAGCTTAAAGAGAAGCCTGAAGGGGTGTCTGTGTAGCATATTTACAAAAAGCATGATCCTGTTAATGCCTTGATGGTTGACTTCTGGCCTCCAAAGCTGTGAAAGAACAAATTCCTGCTGTTAAACACTCAGTTTATAGCACTGTAGGGCTATCCCAAGAGGCAAATATGCTACTAGCTATGTGAGCTGTGTGACATCTCCGTTCCTCTACATTCACCCCTATAAAATGGGGATAATAATGTACTCTCTCACACAGAATTTGTAGGATATAAAGTATGAAACCAAAGAATCTGTGTAAAATGCTAAGCATGGGGTTTGGTATGGAGTCAGCTCCCACTACATGGGTAACTGATACAGTGCCTGAAATAGCAGAGCCCTACACTTTCCCTGTGGTCACACACACACACACAACCTCAAGGAAAGGTCCAGCTGGGTGGACCTTTTCATTCCCCTTCAGACAGTCTAGGAGGAGCCAGGCTCAGAGGTGTATTTTTGCAGTCCCAACTACTCAAGAAGCTAAAATAGAAGGATAGCATGATCTCAGGAGCTGTGGACCAAAGGTGGCCCCTCTCCAAAAAAAAAGAGGAAAAGAGAACAAATCTTTTACTCCATTAGAACAACCTGCCCCCAAATCTACCTTTGTCTAATAAGTAATGATATTTTTAAAAGCTTTGATGTTGAAACATCATGCAGGTTTTGCATAGCTTGGGTCAGCCATCAACAAGTAGATGCCACGGTCACGGGTTTGTTTCCTGTAACTGTTAGGGTGCAATATGAGGCCAGAAAAAAAGAAAAACACCACTGACCTGAAGAACAGTGGGGGATACGACAGTGTTTGAGATTTGCAGTTGCAAACAGTAGGATCCACTGTGGTTAGTTCAATTAGAAAATTAATATAATTGTCTAGAAAAGCACTTGCTTGGCATGTGGGACCTCTGAGGTCTATTCACAGTAATGCAGATGAAGGAGGAAAAAGAGGAAGAGGAGGAGGAGGAGGAGAAAAAAGGAGGAGAAAGAGAAAGAAGAGAGGAGGGAAAGAAGGAAGAAAGAAAGAAAGAAAGAAAGAAAGAAAGAAGAAAGAAAGAAAGAAAGAAAAAGAAAAGAAAAGAAAAGAAAAGAAAAGAAAAGAAAAGAAAAGAAAAGAAAAGAAAGAAAATCTAAAGTGTACTTGAACGTAAGGCCAGAAAACAGAGACAAGAACAACGCCCCCCATCACAGGAGTTGCAGGAGCTCTTTCACGGACGCTCCCTTGGCACCACAGCTCAGTATGGCTGATGCTCAGAAGCGGACGCAGAAAGCCCAAGGAGGGCTTGGCTGGAGGCGGAGGGTGAGGATGAGATGGTGAGGTCAGGTCCAGTATCCTGGCTTTGTACCCCTGCCCTGTAGTTGGTCCTGTGCAGATGAAATGGGCTCACTCATTCATTCATTCTACAAGCATCTACAGACTGTCTTGCACAGTCTACAGACTGTGCCAGGAATGGTGCTAAGTATGGGGGCAGCACAGTGACAAAAGCAAAGGCACACAGAACATTGGATAAGACAGCCTAAAATAAGTGAAGCTTGGGGATAGAAAGGAGGCAGAGTCTGCTGGGAAGGACGGGATGAGAAGGCAGCAGAGAAGGGGGTGAACTTGTCAGAGAAGAGAACAGCCCAGCCCTGGTGGGCCGAGAGTCCAGCACCTCACACCGGCACCGCTGGCATCTCTGCCACAGAAAGAAACTTTCCAATTGTCATTGCTGGTGCCTTTACCTGATCCCTGCACCCTTGAAAGATCCTAGGCCACCCCAGCAATGAGCAACTGTGCTCACCCTAGCAGCCAAGGGACAGAGAAATAGGAAGTGAGTTCCCCAAGTGCAGGTAGAGAAGGCTCAGGAGCATTGCAGGCCCACTGTGCAGACTGCCTGCCTCAGTGTTCCCATCTCAGAAAAGAATCAGGTGGGGAGGCTCAGATTATGCGATGGGAGCCAGTTGCAGTGACCTTGTGCTAATTGCTGAGGCGTGTGTGCTCAGTGCATTTCATGGAACAGACTGCTTGCTACCTGCCTCCTCCAAAGGCAGACAGCTTCAGCGTCAGGGTCCCTGTGCAGATGGAAGGTGTGGGGGCTGCCCAATGCCACTCCTCCTCTAGGGCTTCTTTCCCACTGCTCTCAGTCCTCAGCTGTCCCCATCTGGTCCTCCTCCTTCAGAAAGCAACTCTGCTCTCCTCGTACACTTTTCCAAGGTCTGGCAGAGCCCAGAGCTGTTGCTGAAGGAAAGCCTGGTCTCCTCCTTGGGGATGTATGTAAGGAGCCTCCAGGCAGCAGGCAGGAGCAGGCCTGCAGCTTGCCGTCACCTGAGAGAAGGGCCACACAGCACTCTCTACACAAGAAGCCACAGAAACAACCCACGTGCTCAGCAATAAAGAACAGGCGGATGGGGTGGGGGAGTGTGAAACTCACATTTGACAGCCTGGTTTCTAGGACACGTCATTATTACTGTTAGGTGTGACAAGTAGCTGGTGAAAATGTGGAAAAGCTGTGTATTCCCACTGATGTGTCGTGGCTAATTGGGATGATGCATAAAAATCTGAAATTTAAAACTCCAAGAAGAAAAAGAGGAAGATGAATGGTATTCTTTATATGTTAGTAATGGTTTAAGCTGGCTACATCAAGATTTAATATAGTATTCTCTTTACATTGCACATCTTTACAACCTCCCACTAAAAAAAAAAGAAAAAAGAAAAAAAGAACTTGAAAGACCTGAGCTGTCACAGAGGAGAAAATATATCAGTTTGTTAACTGCAGCTACCTTGTAGGCATCAGCACAGGGGAATGTTGGAGAGTCTCAACCTTCTTTTTACATTTTACATCATTTTACTGGTTATAAGAATGTATTCCTTTTGAAATTAAAAAAAATATTTACAGAATATACTACAATTTTTGTAAAATTTTTTTTGTTTTTGAGACAGGGTCTCACTATGTAGTGCAGACTGGGCTTAAACTCACAGTGATCTGGCCTCGAACTCACAGGGATCCCCCTGCCTCAGCCTCCTGAGTTCTGGGGTTACAAGCATGTGCCACCACACCCAGCAGTTTTTATAATTAATAAGCAGTATTCTAGAGCTGAACATAGTGGTGCATACTGTAATCACAGCATTGTGGGAAGCTGAGGCAAGAGACTCACAAGTTCAAATCCAGCCTAGGAAACTCAGTGAGACCCTGAGTCAGGGTAAAAAATAAAAAGGATCTAAGATGTAGCTTATCGTAAAAGCCCTAGGTTCAGTACCCAGTACTACAAGCCAATACATATATAAATAATGCGTAATTAAATAAATAACATTCTAGAAGAATATTT